GAACGCCACAAGAATAATCTTGATAAGTTCTGTAAAGTTCTGAAACGAACCAAAGAGAAAAGTCTCTCAAAACTCAGATTCAATAGCCTCCCCCAATTAGGGTTACAAGCCCCTTTAAATAGAGAAAAGTAATTCTAATCAGAATAGGAAACTAACACCCTAAACCCTAATCATAATAACCACGAATTGAGCCTTAAATAAATGAATGTTCAGCCCAAAATAATATAAAAAACGTGAAAATCACTAAAAGTAGCCTAAAATAACATGAAATATCAGCTTGTTACAAATTGCAACAGAATTACGAGATTGACGCAAACTGGGTAATTTACCATAAATGACCTCAATTAAACTTCTCTTGAACCTGAATGATGCTTATCATGCCTTGATAATCATCCAAGCTTCGATTTGCTTATTGTATGTTGTTTTCAACCCAGATCTGCTCAATAAGGCCATTTAAAGCTTCACGCATCTTCTTAGCTCTAGCTCGTGTGACTAGACCTCTTTGGGTGTGTAATGGATCACATGACGTAGTAGATATGCTGTCGTCTTGATTCCCATCATGACTGCTTACATGGCAGCATGTGACAACATAGGTGGACTTCTGGTAATGGAGTTGTGTAAGATAGACGAAAATGAAATAATTTTGAAAATTAATAGATGAATTTGAAAGAAAGTAAAGATATTAGACTAAAATAAAAAAAAAATAATTAATAGATAATTTGTTAAATTATGCTAACATATGTAAAGTTAATGAATTAGTATGTTAATCTTTTAAATTTAAAATTAAACTTTAAAATTTAAAATGACATTTCAAAATCATATGTACTATATTTATTTAGGCCTTCACATACCTAACCTCGCAATAAATACAGCATTTGTGTGAGTTTGAGGGGAGGAAGAAATATTGAGAAGTGATTTTTTTTCATTATTATTAAAAAAATCTCTTAAAGTTATTTATTTATTTATTGCACAGTACAAATACCAAATCACCAAAATTATTGATGGAAATGGAACAAGTCACAAAGATGACGACCTACTTAGGTATATTTGAACAGATTCGAGTCCTTATTTTCTTATTCTCCCATTGCAGTACAAAGGAGGAAGATATTCGTTTACTAGCATCTTTGGGATAGCAGGCTGTAATTTGAGAAACAGATCACATGAATTAGTCCAAAGTTCCTGTGCAAGTTTGGGATTGTGCGAAAGTAAAGAAGAGTCGATAGTTCGACCCTTTCCACCAAAAAAGTACACCCTTGATGTTTCCTGAAATCAGCAAACAATTGGTCAGGAATGAAGTTTACAACTCCCAAGCAAGCGGTTGTGTTAGAAACTTACAGGTGGGGCAAGAGCTGCATCAATGATGGAGCTGGCGCCATTTGTAGAAGATTTCAGAAGCCCTAGAAGCCTCAAAACTAAAATGTCAGGTACGCAACACAAGAAAGGACTTCCGCATAATGTTAGTTTCTACAACTCCAGGGTCAGCCGCACTTCAAGATCAATTCAAACTAGAATGCAGACCTTCAAGAGCGCAGAGAGGTAATCCAACCACAATACAAACATTCGCTCTTTGAAAAGCATAATAGATGTGCTAGTTAACCAAGGAAAAATTCTAACAAATGCCATGACAAAGGATCAATTTCTTCCTTATGAGAAAGGGATTAGACTTTATTGTTGATATTCTGAAAATGTGAGACAAGAAGCGCTTTTGAACAATCAACTGGGAAACAAGATAAGCCAACAAAAGATCAAGGATGCCATGAAATGATTATGTTCCAACAAGTGCAACAATTTTAAGTATCCTAATGCAAAGTTTCACTTTAAAAACTATAGAAGAAAAAAAGTGAAGGAAAAAAGTGTTTAAACTCATACATTACGGAGACCTTATGAGATTTATTCATCAAACCAACTTCCCGGTGAAGTTCATACGAAAAGAGAAGTAGACATACTGTCAAAGCAAAAGAATGTAACCTTAACAGAATTGAGATTTAAGTTATTTGAATAATCTTTCAAGTATTACAGTTTACATTTGGAATACTCGTAGATGTGAGAACGTGGATAATGTTTTGCTCTCAAGAAAGGCCTCCTAGTAAGGGACT